CATATCACACCGCTTTTCCCTGTTTACAGTTTCTATTCTCTGAACACTCACTGTCCTTCAGCTATTTATTGTGAGTATTTACCACAATTACGAACATTTTCTTACTTAGTATGCCTTCTAACAACATGCTTACAATAATACAAGGCCTGGATTACCCTGTAGCGCTCAAGCTTGTTACCTGCAGGCTTTGGCTTTGCTCGACACTAAACAACTCAAGAATTCGGCACAGCTAACACTAACTGTCTAGGGAAAGTCTAGCAGGAGACATTTGATAAAGGAAACTTAACACAACTAAGAATCAGACAGGATGGAAAGAGGTAATACTGGAATTGTGAAACAGCGTAAAAGATTATCATTTTACCCTACCTCATTCATAAATAAATATGGGAGCAAATTAGGTTTCAGAGGCAATAAAAACAGATAAATGGATGTACTGGCTCTCTCTTGTAGCCATTGTTGTCCACTCCCTGACAGAGCGCTGAACAAAAATTCAAGGAAATAATTATGCAAATAGAGAACTTCAGCAGTCAGAAGAGGTAGTCTGAGCAGAGAGGAAAAGCTCTCTCCGGAACGTACCTGGGGTTGTAGCCTCCAGAGTCCTCACTAAATTCCACATGACCAGAGGACACCCGTGGTTGTTTGGGATTTTTTAACCAATTCTACTGCTAACGCACCTTGCATAAAACACATGCCATTGGGCTTCAGGGAGAGATTATGACATGCAATGGGCAGTAAACTCAGTTCAAGGGTACTTTTCATTCATGTGGTACTCAGAAACAGTTTCACCGTGACTGAACATCTGGCCAAAAGTCCAAATTAAACTTTGCTAGAAAGACATGCAAATATAGGTTTGTAATGAAAGCAAAAGAATAATGTGGCTTGTCAATCCTTTATGGGAGAAAATGAATGTTTTAATAGGGCTTAATCAATATTTACTGCCCCCAGTAGCACTTAACAGCTGTGTAATAACAGCAGTGCAAATAGGTCAAATGAGAGTAAAGCTATTTAGATGAATAAAACTGCAGGATCAGGCCCTTAAGTTTAGGCAGCCAAACACATCTCCAAAAAATAACGCCACTTACAGTAGTTAAATTGTAGTCATTTCTGAAGAGAAGAAAGTTCATACATAAAAATGCAGCTCTGTAGGAGCAACTGCTAAGAGATGCCTACAATGATGTTTGATGGTCAAGTCTTTGAAGAATGAAATCTTTGCACAGGGAGAAGAGCAGCTGTTTCATTGAATACCCTCCCACACTCCTCAACGTCATCTCTTCAAATACGTCAAAGCAATACCTGGAATAGTTCTTCAGCAGAGGAGTTGGAGTCTGAATCCTGTCAGGAATAACCTAATTATTTTTGTGATACAGTTAGCTGGGGTTTTCTTTATTTGCCTTTTTAATCTTACTATATATTTTGCACCATGCTAAACAATTTCAGATACACTGTGTCCCTGTAATATGTTTTAATATAAATAGAATCTCACACAGATTGAATTTACTAACTGTATGAATGGTAAATATGAGAAGAAACAAATTGTAATGGGAAATCTTTCTTCAAAAACATAAACAGAAAAATTTGGATTTTGAGTTGATGAACACATCATGAATAACCTGATGAAAGAAAAAAAGATCTTCATCAAAAATTAAGTTTGTAGACAAACTTCAAAACTAATATTTAAAGGGGAATATTTTGGAAAGAAGCAGATTATGCATTAAAATTTCTTCAAATTGACTCTGTAAAACTATGCCTGAAATAATCTAAACAGTTTAATAGCACTAATCCTGCTAAACACCATTCAAATGCCATGCAGGGACACAAACTAGGCCTACTAGGACTAACAAGATTTAACTATAAATCCTGAACTGATTCAGTATTCTCTCTCCACATGATGCAATACTGACAATGCTGATGGCCCAAACCACACGACACTCATTGCCAACGGAAGACAGCAAGTTCTGGACTGTCTCTTTTCCACTTACAAAAAAAGTAAGAGAGATGGGCATAGAAAATCATATATGAAAAATAAGAAAGAGATAAATGTAGTCCTCTGAAGTGAAATAAAATGACCAAGACAGGAAACTTTTTATAAAGTTTTATCCCCAGTTGAAGCAGAAACCCAGCTGGGTATATCATACGCGCAAGAAATAAGCGCACGAGGAAAATTTTGACAAGTGGGTTGATGGAATGAGATTGGATTTCCACAAAGCATTCAGAACAGATGAGATTTCGGATGAGCTTGCAGAACAGCCTGATCTTTAAAAGCCTTGTCAGAATGCCAAACTGGGACGATCACCCACTGAAAAACAACTTTCCAGGATATGGTAATAAAGACACGGAAAACAAAATCATTCCAAAAAGATTTTCATTAATTTAGCCAGAATAAAGTTAATAATCCATGACGTAAATGTTTTTTTCTTTACTAGCTTGTTAAAAATGCTAAATTCTCCCCAGAAAAATCTTACAGCTAGAGGCTGACAGAGATGAGCTTATTATTCTTCAGAGTCATTAAATAAATAATTAACCAACAATAGCTGGTAAGTTACCTTGACAACAAAGAATTATTAATATAGATTACCCAAGGGAGAATAAACCAGGGATTTCCAAACTCTGGTGCTAATCAAACTACTTCAGAGCAACGCAAAGACTCGGTGCTGGCAGGTGGTCACTGTCTCTGGCAACAGGGGTAATTTAGTGATGTACTTCTGTACAGCAAAAGGTCAAAACTATTTTTTAAGCAAGAAATGGGAAACAGAAGACTGGAAGCACCTGAGTTGCAGGACCATTAATAACATGTCAGTCATACTTGGAAATTAATAGGAACTGTATGCCCACACGGTGTTATGTAAGATGTTTTGGCAAAGTCTATTAGAAAAATGCAGCTATGGAACACTTCAGCTATAACTGCATGTGCTAAAGCACCCTATATTCAATCTGTAGAATCTTAAAGATTACACAAGATATGCTAGGGGCAGCTAAATTGAGAGACCTCACCTGTGCCTTTCACCTTTCATGATATTTCGTTCTAGTGTGGCTGAACATGACAGCCATGGAATCAACATCCAAATGGCCAGCTTTATCCCTCCACATTTCTTTACATCTCTTTCTTGTTTCTAAGTTCCTAGAGAGGGAAATAATGGGCAAAGGATAACACTAGTGTTCCATTCTCATAAAGACAGTTTCTAAGGTGGTATAATATTTCTGGAAGATAAAAATTGAAAATGTTTTGTTCCTCAAAACCTACATTTGGGAAGTAGCAGGCAGAGGATCCTTCCTAAAGAGTCCTTGTCAGTGCAGTTTGGTAATAGGGCATGAGGCTATTCATGCTAGCAAATCAGTTACTGTTTTAGCAAATAAGAACCTGCTCAGAGAGGTCTGCCAGAGCCCTTCAGATGAGTCTCTGTATTAGATTATGCATAAACCAGCATAGACAGCAATACTCAAAACCTTGCTGTAATATAAGATTGTTCCCCAATAAGTAATTTGTAGATGCAGGACAGGTAAGTTTTTCAACATGCTGGAAATTGCTTTGGTCCTCTGAAATGAGTGGCCTTTATTCTCATTACAGCATACCTCAGAGTTACTAACAAAGATCAAAACTGTCTTTTCTTTTTAAGCCAAGATAGGCACAGACTTTCCCCTGTGCAGAAAGAATAGACGAGTGCTCCGAACTACAGTGCTTGTGATTGGCACTTCCCAAACTTTGCCTGTGATTGGCACTTCCCAAAATTTGCCAACACTATGACAGAACCTGAGTCAGCAGAGGTTCTCTTCAAGGAAGAAATGTCCATATACGCCCTCGAGGATGTAAGTGTCTGCAGCGACAACTTTTTAGTAGGGCACAAAGAAGTAAAATAAACATCTCCATCCATGTTCCTTGGAAAATCTTGACCTACTCACTTCTCTTTCTTAGAATCTCCCTACCTCTCCTGGTTTCCCATAAGCTCTTTGCTCTGCAGAAGCTCTTCCAACCCAGCATGGGTTTCCTCTGGGAAGGACCCCACACTGCCTTCCTGACCAGGCTGCAGTAGCCCAAACTGCCAACAGCTCCCTCCCCATAGCCTAAACAAGCCCTTTCTACATTCGCACTAACACAAAATACCCATGCTTGCAAACTCATGGGTGTCAACGGCTGTGCCCTCACTCAATCCATCTCAGGTTAAGACTAAATTTGCAGTTAAAACTTTTTAATCAAGTTTATATGCTCAGTCTCACGAAAGTTTTCAGTTTTAGCCAACAGCTTCAACAGTGCTAAGAATGAGATTCTTACCAGTGTCTGAAGTAAACCAGAAACACATGGAGTCCCACTGAAAGTCCAAGACCTGTGCTTCTATATTTTTGCACTAGCCTTGGAAATAGAACCTAAAATTTTATTTAAACTACTGTAAGAAACATTCTTATATCTGGGATAAATTGTCACGAAATCTTGAGGTGTTGTTTACACTAGAGTCAAATCTGTTACCAAAATCTGGAGCTTGAACTGGTAGTGCATATTTCACATGCTCAGACAATTATCAGCAGCGAGAGAATTATGAGACTACTGAAAGAGGACAGATTGAATACATCAGCTGGATTCAGTCCATTTAACTAAATATGAAATGCTCCACAGCCCAACACCTATCAGAGTTCTGTCACCCTCCCAGATTAACTCTTTCACAACAGATGTCTAATAGGCATAAGAATAAGCAGTAACACCACGAGACTATAAAGTCACAACTTTTTCTTTTTTCAGTTAGAGAAAGATACTTAAGAGAATCAAATATCCCAAATCAGCTCTGAGTTAGTGCAACCACTTGCTCGTACTTTATGGCTATAACATCACATCTATAAGCACTCAGTCCTGGAAATAAAATAAATAATTAAGTCAGGAAAAGTTGACGAAAGGTTCCATGCTCAGATTTATCTGTACTCATTTTAGTCTTCTTCTGAGATAATAAAGACACAGAAAACTATCTCATGTCAAATTCCTAAGAGGGACTTTTCTGCTGGGCACAGCTACTGACCTGCAACATCTGAAGATAGCCTTCTTGTGGATCGCACAGCAGTGATGATATTCGGTGATTGTTCCTCATACATCTCTGATTGTTGTCCCTTGAGAGGGGGAAAATTTGCCGGATAACTGTCATCCTCCCCAGAGCACTATGTACCAACTCTAATATTTCATTATCAGTGATTTCCTGCAAATAGAGACACAGTCTTTTAAAAGCATGTATTTGTCCAGATACTTCACATATTCTTTTTATTATTTGACAGATGTTTTTAAATAGACAACAGAAGAAAAAAGCTACAGATGAACATGCTTAGTGTAGGCCAAGCATTCTTATTTTTTAATAACAACAATGGTATGTTTCATGCATCATCGAAAACAAAAGTAAACAACTTAACCCAGTACTGCCTATCTTGGCAATACTAACATCCTTCAGAGGATCCTTACACAAAAGCACCAAGATGGTCTCAACAGGTTTCTAAGTAAAACACAGAGCCTTTAAACCAAATCTGTATAGAAAGAGTTTTGGTTTAACAGAATAGAACCTCACTACACCCTCAGAACAAAACAACAAATGGAAAACGTAACTATCTTTAGAAAATCTGACCCTTACACCTAAGAACATTACAAGAAAGTACTTTTCCCATAAGAACAGTAGATCATTCCTGCAGACTAATCCTGATAATAACTCAAGGAAGTCTTTTGATGTGATCTGTATTAGGAAATGAAAACTAGGAGGAACTTCATGAAAGGGACTGATACATTTAGGAATGCAAGTTTCTGCACACAGGATAACAGCGGATAAGATACAAGGAGATCTCAAGGACAGGCTGCTCTTCTTTCCAGGCTTCGCACCTTCTATAGCTTCTCTGCAGACTGCCCCATGTCCCAGCCTCCTAATCCATCCTGGGACAGAGCCTGCATCTACCACCCTTATATTGAGACTGAAGCCAGCTCAACTAGATGCTGTACACATTTTATATTAAAAAAACCCCACAAAACCAAAACCTCCTTTTTTTACCCCAGGATAAATAGTTTGAAAATCACGGGCTTAGCTGATCCTGAAATCATAACAGCAGTACAGCTTGCGATGGTTATTTCCTGCCAGGAGCTCACTGTGAGGAAGGACAGGCAGTGGCACCGCTCACAGGGAGCAGCTTTACATCCCAGCTCCTCACCAGTGCCACCAGCAGCGTCTGCACACCACATAAGCCCACCTTCAGCACACGCCGGCTGCACAGCTGGGCCAGCCCGCTGCCCAGCCCGCACAGGGCTGCTCTCAGCCCCTTACAGGGTAGGGGGTTGCAAATAATTCATGTTATTGTGCCTGTTCTGTCAACAGGGCCCACGCCTTGTGATGTGTCATCTGCAGAATTGAACCCGGCCCTAGGATTTAACACTGAAGAAAAAAAAAGTATTTTGTTTTCTTGCTATTTTCTCTGTCATGCTGTGAGTGAAATGACCATGGGGTTATTATAATTACTTGTTACAGTTGACTAGTACCATAGCTTTGGCTCAATTTAGTTCTTCTTTGCCGAATTCCCATCATTTTTTAGGAACATGAATTTTTAACTTTGCAGAAGGTGAAATTCATTGTATTAATGACAGACCAACTGGTGTGGTGTGAAAACAGAAAATCAGAAAGTAAATATATTCTTATAGAAGCCAAAGATTTTGAGGCTTAATAGAAATTGCTGGGCAGCACCTGTAGCCTGCAGGGAGCCGTCAAAGGAGACCCACAAGCTCTACAGATCCCTCCAGACCGCTGCCTTGAATTTTGCTTCTGTGGGGCTGAGAGGTGTTCAAGTCACACAGTGTGCCTAAGCTGTGGTGTGGAGGAGAGACAATTTTATGGGATACCTTTAACTCATAACCCCCTATGCTCTATCCCTTTGCAGGCAAACTCAGACTGAGTGGCTAGAAACAGAAAAAGAAAAAAAGATCACGAATCATCCAGACCTTCGGTTCACCTCACACCACACAATTTTTGTGTTCTCCCCAAGTGATGCACAGCCTTTCAAAAATGTCCCACAACCTGTGCCAAAATGCTTGACCTGGAACAAATAAACCTATACATAGCAGACCAGAACTGCTTCATCCATGGGATCTTCAGAGGTCAGACAGCAGAAGAGATCAGTTAGGTCAGACACATTAACTCAGCTTCTTCCCACTTTAGCTATAGGCACCAAGTGGGTCCTGAATATCAAAGCCTAGTCACTGCAGCCAAAGAATTAAAACAAGAGCTTCTGGAGGGAAATTCAGAACTTAAATCAGGCTAAACATGACTCTGTAAGTGCCACCTTTTTCTGTGTGGACAGCTGACATAAATCCTTCAGTGCCTCCGTTCAGCATGTAACAAAGCTCCTGTATCTTTTTCAGTTGATGGACATTCATACCAGCAAATGATCCATTCCTTTTAGAAATAAGGTCCCTTTTTATAAATGTAAAAGGACAGAACATAAAGGAGTTGTTGGAAGAGCTGGGAAGAAAATGTCTATGTCTGCATTGTCAAGCTGCTACTCTAAAAGCTGAAGGTAGCTCTGGGCCTTTCCATAGCAGTTGATGGGGTTGTACTGCCACATGCAGCAAGGCAGGGCACCTCGGGCAAGTCTGGGAGCAGGACAGCATGGCCAGGCGCCCAACCAGCAGAGGAGAGCTGGTTACCGCCGTCCTTCACTGGAGAGGCCCAGCTGCGCCTTCCCTGGCCAGGGCACTGCAGACCTTCCTCTCGCCTGGCACAGGCAGGCTCCGCGGGCTTGTTTCCAGAGTGCGCACTGTCCTGGCTTAGCAGCAGGTGAAAGCTTAAATGTCACATGCAGAAAGGTCACCTGCATTCCAACTGTGATAAACACAGGGGAAAAAAGAAAAAGAACAAAACAAGCCAAAACAGGAAAAACAACTATATACAAAGTTGGCTTTTACTTTTACACCAATCAGAATAACAGCATATAACCAAAAAATAGTTCTAAGGCTTGGAGTCACAGAGGAAAAAAGGTTTCACACTGATCTTACAATTAAAGTCTATTCATCCAGTTATTTGTTTAAAAGTAACACATTTCCTTTCCTGTATGTGATATGAAAATTTTCTTTACACTGTGAAACTGACAACTAAGCAAATGTATCCCAAATTTCCAATCTTGTTCGTGGATCATTACACAGCACAAGACAGCACAAATTAATTACGATTCATACCATGCATAAATGCTGTATTCTAAGTAGAGCTTATCAGCTGGCCTGGCCAGGCAAATGATCCTTACAAAATTCCATAGAATCATAGTTTGGGAAAGACCTCTAAGATCACCAAGTCCAACCGTCAACCCAACAACACCATGCCTGCTAAACCATATCCCAAAGTACCACATCTACACGTTTTTTGAACGCCTCCAGGGATGGTGACTCTATCACCTCCCTGGGCAGCCCGTTCAAAGTCAAGAAATTTTTCCTAATATCCCATCAAAACCTCCCCTGACACAACTTGAGGCCATTGTCTCTCATCCTATCACTAGTTACCTGGGAGAAGAGACCAACACCTGCCTCACCATAGCCTCCTTTCAGGTAGCTGTAGAGAGCAATAAGTTCCCCCCTCAGCCTCCTCTTCTCCAGACTAAACAACCTCAGTTCCCTCAGCCACTCCTCATAAGACTTGTTCTCCAGACCCTTCACCAGCCTTGTTGCCCTCCTCTGGACATGCTGCAGCACCTCAATGTCCTTCTGTGAGTGAGGGGCTCAAAACTGAACACAGTACACCAGTGCTGAATACAATGGCACGATCACTGCCCTACTCCTGCTGGCCACGCTATTCCTGATACAAGCCAGGATGCTCTTGGCCTTCTTGGTCACCTGGGCAGACTGCTGGCCCATGTTCAGCCTGCTGTCGACCGGCACCCCCAGGGTGTTCATATCACATGCCCAGTTTTTGGCTTTCATGATCCCATGATGTTGCTATTGCAACATGGGGTAAATCTTGACTGAATATAGATGGTGGCTTCCGCTTATTTCAGCGATGTGCTTTAAGGAAAGTTAAAGAGCCTAACTCTCCACTGCTTGGCACCTTTGATAGGAATTTGCACTCAGACCTGTAAATACCGGATTTCTTGAATGAAGATGGAGAGAGAGTGCACTTCACCCAGATATAAAAGATGTTCTTTTATCTAATTGCTCTTATCCTAGATTCTTCTTTTACTAAGGGAAAGAACTTTGCTCTTCCAAATACCTCACGGAGCACTCAAATATTTTGGTAGGCAGACATAAGTGGAAGATGCACTATTCACCCAGGCTAGTAGTACTTCTTGCCACCCGACTCAACACTGAAAGGGTATTCCTTTAAACACTGTAATTTCTGTTCATGTGGCAGATTAATAGCAAAGTTTACTTTTCAAGAACTTGTGGTGTTCGTTTATCCATTTATTTGCACACAAATATTGGTCATTTGGGGAATTAATTTATCTATTTATTTATCTGCACACAAAGAACTTCAGTTAGTTTGTAATACCAAGCCATATTGCTCAGGGGAATATTTAAATCTGCTCTAGTTGTGCTCAACTATCATAACACAAATTGCAAAATGAGACAATTATGTTTCACATTACAATCTCTATTTTCCTAGAGGTAATGACAGAAAATTATAAATTTTAATGACATTAATAATTTAAAGAACCAAAAGAGATTTTCAGAAAGCGCATCCCTGAGAAAACTGGAGTATTAAACTGAATGGCAATGAGGACAAGGATGCTCATGGTGACAAGCTGCCGATTTATGTGGAATTTTTGCATTAGGATCGATACTGTTTGTTGGGTTATTCTAATTCCCCTCAATGCACTATGTACATCTATAAATGGACTCACGTTCACTTGTTGAAAATCCAGAAAACATCCTTTCATGAGCTGTTTTTTAAAACATTCTGACAGCTTACCCTGTAGATAGATTTATTCTGACCTTAACATTACACTGGCTCCTGTGCATCCCACAAGAACAGACACACACACATATATATATAAAAGTCAATCCTTTAAGGCAAGGGCACAATCCATTTTTCATAGCACAGAAAATGTTCTAATACAAGTCTGCATGACCACCTGTCCAACTCCGATCCTCATTGTCCTCCCACAAATCCAATGCTACCTCACTTCTCTTCTTTTAACCTGATGCTCCTAAAAATCTCTGTAGGGATGTATTTATAATTTAACTGAA